CATCAGCATCAGCATCATCATCATCATCATCATCATCATCATCATCATCATCATCATCATCATCATCATCATCATCATCATCATCATCACGATCATCATCATCATCAGCATCATCATCATCATCATCATCATCCTCGCCAGCATCATCAGCAGCAGCATCATCACCATCAACATCACCATCACCACCATCATCATCACCACCATCATCATCAGCATCAGCAGCACCATCACCACTACCACCATCATCAACACCATCACCATCATCAGCATAGTCACCATCCTCCTCCTCATCACCATTATCATCATCATCAACACCAGCATCATCATCATCAGCAGACTCAACATCATCAACATCGTAAACATGACCATCATCATCACCACCATCATCAGCAGCAGCATCATCACCCTTTCCACCACCATCGTCATCATCAGCATGATCATCATCATCAGCATCATCATCATCATCATACTCATCATCATCATCAGCATCAGCATCATCACCATCACCATCATCATCATCATCATCATCATCATCATCATCATCATCATCATCATCATCATCATCAGTAGCATCATTATCATTAGCCGCATCATCAGCATCACCATCGTCATCATCATCATCACTCCTCCCTCCTCCTCCACCTTCCTCCTCCTACGTATCCCCTCCTCCTCTTCCTCCTCCTCCCCCTCCTCCTCCTCCCTCCTCCTCCCTCCTCCTCATCCTCCCTCCTCCTCCTCCTCCTCCTCCTCCTCCTCCTCATCATCATCATCATCAGCATCATCATCATCAGCATCATCGTCATCATCATCACTCCTCTTCCTCCTGCTGCTCCTCCTCCCTCCTACTACTTCCCCCCCCTGCTCGCCCTCCTTCTCCTCCTCCTCCTCCTCATCCTCCTCCTCCCCCTTATTATCATCAGACAGCATCATCAGCATCTCAATTATCATCATCATGTTTCATCAGCATCATCACATCATCATCTCATCATCATCATCATCATCATCATCTCATCATCATCATCATCATCATCATCATCTCACAACATCATCAACATCCATCACATCATCTCATCACATCATTCATCATCATCAATCATCTCATCATCATCATCATCATCATCATCATCTGCATCATCATCATCATCATCATCATCATCATCCATACTCATCAGCATCAGGCATCATCCATCGGCCTCATCATCATCATCGGTGTCCATCACTCTGCTCCTCCTCCTCCCTCCTCCTACTTCTCCCACCCCTCCCTGCTCCTCCTCCTGCTCGTCCCTCCTCCTCCTCCTCCCCCTCCTCCTCCCTCCTCCTTTTCCTCTCCGCTTTCCGCCTCCTCCTCCCTCCTCCTCCTCCTCCTCCCTCCTCTCTTTCTTCCTCCTCCGCCTCCTCCTTCTCCCTCCTGCTCCCCGTCCTCCTCCACCTTTTGACTCCTCTCCTCCTTCCCTCCTCCTCACCATATCATCAGTCATCATCATCATCATCACATCATCATCATCATCATCATCATCATCATCATCATCATCATCATCATCATCATCATCATCATCAATCATCATCATCATCACATCATCATCATCATCATCATCATCATCATCATATCATCATCATCATCCCATCATCATCATCATACATCATCACATCATACTCATCATCATCATCATCATCATCATCACCACCATCATCATCATCATCATCATCATCATCATCATAATCAATAATCATAATCAATCATCATCATCATCATCATCATCACCATCATCATCATCATCATCAACATCATCATCATCATCATCAGCATCATCATCATTCATATTATTATTCTTAATTTTATTTTTATTCTTGTTATTTCTAGTATTACCACTCTTCTCATTATTTCATTATCATTATTATCATTCTCAGTGCTAATGCTAATATGGTTAGTCTCATTACTATTCGCATTCGTAGTATGTTTGATATTGTTATGCTGAGTATTGATTTCTCAGGATCATGTTGATGATGACTATTATCTCTATTGTTATTATTATTATTATTACTATTATTATCATTATTATTATTATTAATATTGTTAGTAGTAGTATTTTATTATTATTATTATTATTAATGGTTCGTGTTACTATTCTTGGCACGACTAATATCATCATCCACACCACCTTTATTAGTATTATTCTTATTATTATTATTATTATCACGATTGCTATTGTTAGTATTTTCATTATTACTAGTTCTATCCACATAATCATCAGCAGTATCATCAGCATCATCAGCATCATCATCAGCATCATCATCATCACCATCCTCATCATCATCAGCATCATCATCATCATCACTCACTCCGATTCGTCCTCTTCCTCCCTCCTCCTACTCCTCCTCATCCTCTTCCTCTTCCCCCCCCTCCTCACCCTCCTCCTGCTCCTCCTCCTCCTCCTCCTCCTCCTCCCTCCTCCTTCTCCCCCTCCTGCTCCTCCTCCGTCTCCTCCTCCTCCTCCTCCTCCTCCTCCTCCTCCTCCTCCTCCTCCTCCTCGCCCCCCTCCTTCCCTCGTCTCGTCCTCCTCCTCCTCCTCCTCCTCCTCCTCCCCTTCCCTTCCTCCTGCCTGCTCCTCCTCCTCCTCCTCCACCTCCTCCCCTCCCCCTTCTCCTCCCTGCTCCTCCTCCTCCCCCTCCTCTCCTCCCTCCCTCCTACTTTCTCCCCCCCTCCGCCTCCTCCTGCCTCCCCCTCACTCCTCCTCCTCCTCCTCCTCCTCCTCCTCCTCCGCAATCCTCCTCCTCCATCTCCACCTCCTCCCCTCCTCCCCTCCTCCTCCCCCTCCTCTTCCTCCTCCTCCTCCTCCTCCTCCTCCTCCTCATGATCATCATCATCATCATCATCATCATCATCATCATCATCATCATCATCATTATTATTATTATGATTATCCTTATTATCATCATTATCATTATTATTATTGTTAGTGTTATTATCATTTTTATTATTATTAGTATTATTAGTATTATTAGTATTATTATCATTACTCCTATTATCATTTTTATTCTCAGTATTATTTTTATAATTATTATTATTACTATTACGATGATGATGATGATTATTATTATTATCATCATTATTATTATTTTTTATATTTATTTATTCATGTATTTATTTATTTATTTATTCATTTATTTATTATTATTAGTATTATTATCATTATTCTTATTATTCTTATTATTTAGTATCACTATTATTATTATTATTATTATTCTTACTCTGATTTTTATTATCATCATCATCACTCCTTGGCCCGCGAGGTACCTGGAGCGCCACGTGCTCCCCGCGCGAGGCGGGCGGCCCGCCGTTGCCGAGCTCGGGGCCGGCTGCGGCCTGCTCGGCCTGGCGCTGGCGCGGCTCGGCTGCCGCGCGGTGCTGACCGAGCAGCCCGCGGCGCTGGCGAACCTCCGGGCCAACGTCGGGGCGTACGCGGCCGCGGGCGGGGCGCGCCGGGGCGCGGCGACGGCGGCGCAGCTGGTGCCTGTGTGTGAAGGAGGAGGAGGAGGAGGAGGAGGAGGAGGAGGAGGAGGAGGAGGAGGAGGTGGAGGAGGAGGGTGAGGAGGAGGAGGAGGAGGAGGAGGAGGAGGGAGAGGGGGAGAGGAGGAGGAGGAGGAGGAGGAGGAGGGAGGAGGAGGAGGAGGAGGAGGAGGAGGAGGAGGAGGAGGAGAGGAGGAGTTAGGAGGAGGAGGAGGAGGAGGAGGAGGGAGGAGGAGGAGGAGGAGGAGGAGGAGAGAAGGAGGAGGAGGAGAGGAGGATGAGAGAGGAGGAGGAGGAGGAGGAGGAGGAGGAGGAGGAGCTGGTGCCGCTCATGCCATCATTCTATCACTACGTACCGCGAACGTATCGGCTCGGGCATTTTGGTGCCACCTAGCGCGCTGCCTCCATCGCGGCGCCCCGGAAGCCCTCCTCCTTTCGCCACCTCTGCGGTCGTTGACCTACATGCACAGTGCCTGGAGGGCGTCGGGGTGGGTTGGGGGTTATGTATTGGTTTTGCAGGGTTCCGGCGATGGCCCGGGTGATCGGGCCCGCGCGTCCCCCTCCCCCTTCCCGGATAAACCTGGCCTGGGCGGTTGCGCAGCTCCGAGTGGGGGCGCGCAGTTCTGGTGCGCGCGGGCACACGTGGGGCTGCACTAAGCGCAAAGGCTGTGCTATCGGCCAGCATCTCCCCGCCACGGAAAATTGCGAACGATCTCTTCGGGGTTCGGGGTTCGGGATTTTCGTCGGTTTTCGTCGGCTCTCCAGCCTCGGGGTGCCTTCCAGCAGCTGCGCCTTGCCGAGGGCGTTCCGGGAATGTCCGGATCGTTCCGAACGGCCGCTGGAGAGCCGAGTTACGACCCGAAAACACGAAAACCATATGGGCTCACGTAGCCGGGGTCAGCGCTAACGGGGTCCGTCAACCCCTTTTGACTGACTTGGGTTTGAGAGCCACGTGGGGCCGATTCCCCTTGTCCGCCCTGACCCAGGTACCCATCGGTCGTTGAAAGTCGGTATTTTTGGGTTCCCAGATTCCAATCTACGTTAAGCGCCGTCCTACTTCAATGATCGAGTGGTTTCACCTTTTCCGTCCTCCTCAGGGAGCGGACGGAACCCATTCTACTTTCAACGCCTCCCTACTTCATGTTTCTACTTACTTCTCATGGCGCCAGCATCGCATAGTGGATTTCGTTCGGAAAACGATCGGATGAGCCCGGAGTGTCCTGGAGAATTTCGTTCTGGATTTCGAGGTGAATTTCGTGCGGATTTTTTGGCCAGGAGTGAAGACCAAAACCAATCCACGTGAAACTCACGCTGTTTGTCGCTCGCCATTGCGGGGTGTTGCGCGGAGAGAAATCCGCGCAGAAACCTGCGGAAGCACGTCTGCAAGGTCGGTGCAGTGACATGTTTCTGCCCAGTGCTTCCGACCGAGGGGTGCGGGAGCCACCGGGCGGCCGCCCGGGCTCTGCGACATGGGCCCCGGCCAAAACCCCGGTCTTGGCTGGCCCGGGTGTTGTGCGTCCCCGCTTGGGGAGGAGGCTCGAGGATGTTGCTTCGACATGTTCGGCGCCCGGGCGCCAGCTTCGGGCCCCCCCCCCTGCTCCTCCTCCACCTCCTCCTCCTCCTCCTCCTCCTCCTCCTCCTCCACCCCAGGGTGGGAGGCCACATGTGAACCCTGATTGCCCCTGCCCCCCACGATCTCTGAGGCGGAGGGTGGGGCTCACGTCGTTCGGGAGCTCCCGAGCGAAGTGAACCTCACCTGTCCCCCTCAGAGGTCGTGGGTGGCAGGGGTAGGGTTCGCACGTGCCCCCTACCTGGGCCCAGGGCGAGCAGGAAGCCTCGGGCACCGATCTGGGGCGGAAGACCTGGGATGGGGATCGGCTTGAAGCGGCTGTCGAGCGGCGCAGCTGGTGCCCAGAGGGCGTGGCCGGGAGGAGCGAGGCTTCTGGACGTGTTCTGTGACGCACGAGCAACACGCACCCATACCCAAAGGTGGGACGGAGGGGGCTATGGGTGCGTGTTGCCGGATGGGACCCCCCGCTCGAATGGGAGCGCCCCCCCAGGGTCCGACAACCCGCGCCCGTACTCATAGCCCGTCCTCCCTCCAACGCCCCCCCTGTGGGTATGGGCGCGTGTCGTGCGTGCGTCAGTCTGGGCGCGCCGCGATCGATGTCGGCGTGACGCTCGGCATCGCTCGGACGCGTTGTGTGCTGTGCGTTCGTCGCTCTGGGCGCGCCACGATCGGTGTCGGCGTGGCGCCCGGCATCGCTCGGACGCGTGCAGCTGTTCTCGGCCTGGGCCATCGTGGAGCACCTTGGCTCTTCCAGGGGAAACAAATCATGCACCCTCCTCCTCCTCCTCCTCCTCCTCCTCCTCCTCCTCCGCCGTACACGGAGGACCAGCTCGCGACCCTGGGCGCTGATCGTTTGGCGGTCCTGAAGCGCTTGGGCTACATATCTTGAGAAAGACCGGCACGGCCTCCATGTGCATCAGATGTCGGTGCATTGTCTACTTCATCAACGTGGAGAACAATGCCGAGCCATTTTCGGTTCAACCCGCGCGTCTCAGTCCCGCGCGGCCGCCGCGATTAGGAGCCTGGGCGTGCGCGGTGCACTGCAACAAAAATCCTCCTCCTCCGCCGAAAGCAGACTGGCAGCAAGGAGGCAGACGAGGAGCAGGCACCGAGATGGGCGGCGCCAGAAGGGACCGCCCGACGGCAGGCGCGGGCAGCGCAGAGGGGAGCGGAGGCGGCGGTCGCCCACCGCCGCGAGGCAGCAGGCTCTTCGGCGACGACCACGGCCACTACGAAGAGAGGCCGAACGTGACCACGAGGCTCGCCCTGCGAAGCGCCCAGGGCACGAGGGAGATGATGCACGCGACCAGCGACCTCTGGCTGATCCCATCGGAGGTCAGGACTTTCCGGGCGGGCATCCAGGCCGCGAAGAAGTACGGAGGACTCGGCCCCCCCCCCCACGTGTACGTGGCGATCGAGGTCCTCCGCGAGCTGCGCGGCTCCATGGACGGCACCAGTGGGAGCGAGATGGAGGAACAATGCAAGGCCACCCTTGGCGAGTTCATGGCCGGCACGACCAACCAGTGCGGACCCTTGATCATCCAGGAGGTGTTCCAATCGTTCAAGGTCAGCGAGACCTACAAGAGGGAGGACGAGCAGGAGGGCAGCAGCATGGGGAAGCTCCAGTGCAGCCTCAACCCTGGCCCCGTCTTGGGCGCGATCCTCCAGGAGAAGAAGATCGGAGAGCCTGCCCTGACCTGGGTCCGCGGCTTCACGGCGTTCAAACTCAAGGAAGCGATGACGGTGGGGCTCTTGGGGCTCAACGCCACCAAGGCGAACGGAGCGGGGCCCAAGTCGGCCTTGGAGCGGGCAGTGGAGGCCTCCTATCACCGCAGGCGCGGAGAGTCCAAGACGCCGACGGGCAAGTCAACCTACCTGCGCCGAGAGAGACGAGAGGCACTCCAGAGCCTGATCCTCTAACCTCGGTGGCCAGCGGTACGTTGCATTCTCCTCTTTCGTCGCCTCCAGTCAGATGGCCACCAGAGAGTGAGTCGGAACAACTTGCCAACGCTATCCGTCTCGACCCCAGAAGATTTTCGGCCCTTCGGGAGCACAGGCAGATAAGCAACAAGTTCGGCGATACTTATGACTTAGCCATGTTGTACAGAGCTAGGAAGGAGAGAGTCGTGGACCTCAGTCAGGGACTCCATCAAGGGACTACTTCCGACGGGCTCAGGCTGGTACCAGGACGGGGGGATCTACAGTCTCTACGGGACCCTCTTCGATTAGGCGTCGACCCACCACAACTCGACGGGACTATCGGCAGCCAAAGCACTCCGTCACAGGGAACCCCTGTAGGGACACCAGAGACCCCACAGGAGGTTACAGGCACCAGCGGTAAGGCTTCGCAACGAGGACCACCTGAGGCTTCGACGGGGCCAGGATAGTAACTTGTGGCAGCCTCCGACACCAGCTCTGGCAGTGTTTTTTTCTTCCCCCCCTGCGCTCCTGCATCGACGGTCCGTTTCGGAGTCTTGGCTCAGTGCCGAGGTTCTTGCCCATGCTCTTCTGTTACTGTGTACCCCTTTCAAGTTAAGATGGTCGAGCCACGACGTCCCCGTTCTTTCTTGCCAGCGCACTTGACGCACTTCGACGTTCGCCACTCGTCTCCCATTGGTCAGCTCATGTCATCAAGCGAGCGTCTGAGGGCCACGAGACCGATTTTCCTTGCACAAGTGCGCCTTGCAAAAGATGCAGCCAACGCGCTCCAACGCCACAGTTGCCTGTTAGAACTCAGCTTGCACAGGCTCGAGGCGCCATCTCAGTGGGAAATTAGAGAACAGAGGGACGATAGGAGGTACAGCGACGCCTCAGGACGCATATTACGATTGCAGCAAAGTGTGTAAACGCATTGCCCTGCATTCAGAGGTTGCTCGAAGGAGAAGATGAGGCCCTTATTTCACATTTCCCCGACCAGTTGAATGTCAACGATGGGTTGGGCATCGAATGAGATATTATAGAGCAGACCTGAGAGATGGATGCAGGCCAGCCCGAGGAGACGGCATCCTTTGTTGCACTCACTGTAAATTCACTGTGAGAGCTGCTGCCGCCTGGTGTCCTGCCGTCCTCTCCTCCCTCTTTTGTGCAGCCTGCCACCCGACTCTTTGAGAAGGGTAGAAGGGACCGTCTCCTTCGCCACCAGTTTGGTGCTGAATACAGGGCGGCAGGGCAGGGTATAAGGTTCTTACGTCTACTGCAAGATCGGCCAAATGCCAGACTTGCCCGTCTTGCCTCTCTTTCTTTGTTGCCTTCTCCGTCGGGCAGGGGTCGGCCGCCTCTCGGGAGGCCCCACGCCCAGAGAGGCCTGGACGCTTCCCCGCGCACCATGGCTCAACCGAGCCTCCTTGCTATCTTCCTGGCGGCCATGAGGAACGGTGTTCGGGCCTCCTCACGGCTGTACAAGGAGCGAGGCTATCGTGCCTCACCGCCGATGGTCTCCTGCCCAGCAGGGCAGGTCCTGCTCGGTAGGACGCCCGGCTGGCCCTCCCAGACGCGAGGGCCAACCCCACTTCCCGCAGGGGTCCGACGAACGCTTTAGCTTAGAGGAGCTTTGCCCCCCGAGCGCCTGCCTTGCCTTGCCTTGCCTTGCCTCCCTCTTCCTCTCCTCTTCCTCCACCTCCTCCTGCTCCTGCTCCTCCTCCTCCTCCTCCTCCTCCTCCTCCTCCTCTTCCTCCTCCTCCATGTGGAACACGACACGCGCGAAACCGAATCGTGCACGTGATCGTTTTTATTCATTGTTTTGCCGATCGGCGGGGGCCCTCACACCCCCCCTCATGGCGTGGATCTTGGCTGTTTTTTTGACGCCTGTTTCAGGCAGGTGGAGCCTCCCCCCATCGTAGACGCACTGCCGCAAACAACCGCATTAACCAGAGGTCCGGAGCCAGGGCCCCCCCCCGTTCCCCCCTCTCCGTCCAATGTCGAAACGCCGAATAAAAGTCAAAATGAGGCTCACCACGGTGAATGGACGCTCGAGAGACGGCAAGACCTCGGGTCATTACCAGACCGATGCAGCCTTCCAACAGCAACAGCAGCGGAGGAGGAGGAGGAGGCGGAGGAGGAGGAGGAGGAAGGAGAGGAGGAGGGAGGAGGAGGCGGGAAGAGGAGGAAGGAGAGGAGGAATGAGGAGGAGGGAAGGAGGAGGAGGAGGAGGAGGAGGAGGAGGCGGAGGAGGAGGATGAGGAGGAGGAGGAGGGAGGAGGAGGTGGAGGAGGGAGAGGACGGAGGAGGAGAAGGAAGGAAGGAAGGAAAAGGGAAGGAAGGAAGGAAGGAAGGAAGGAAGGAAGGAAGGAAGGAAGAGGAGGAGGAGGAGGAGGAGGAGGAGGAGGAAGGAGGGGGAGGAGGAGGAGAGGAGAAGAGGAGGCGGAGGAGGAGGGGCAGAGGAGGGAGAGAGGAGAGAGGAGGAGGAGGAGGAGGAGGAGGAGGAGGAGGAGGAGGAGGAGGAGGAGGATGAGGAGGAGGAGGAGGAGGCGCCCTCGCAGGTGTGGGGGAATGCCGAGGACGCCGCTGCCGTGGCGCAGATGGGGCCCTTCGATCTCGTCGTGGCGTCGGACGTCGTCTTCGCTGCCCCGCTCGTAGGCGCCCAGCCATTTTAGAATCCCTTCGGGGAGCACATGGGGGAGCAAATCAATGATTTGGGCCTCTTCGGGCCTTCCTGGGGGTCCTCTTGGAAGCCTCTCGGGCCGTCTTGGACCGTCGGATGGCCGAAAAGGAGGAATGGCTGAATACCTCCAACACCATAAGAACATCAATGGTTTTGGCTCCCTCAGGCCTTCCTGTGTGTCGTCTCTGAGGCCTCTTGGGCTATCTTGGAGATCCCTTGGAGGCATCGTCGGTCATCTTGAGGCCATCTTACGCCGTCTTGGACCATGTTGCCACGTTGAGGCCATCTTATGTTGTCTTGGTTTATTTTGGGCCGTCTTGGCGACATCTTGCGACACTATTGGACCGTCTTGGGCCATCGGAAGGCTGACAAACAGCACGCGCCGAAAACCTTCGAGCCTTCCCGTATGTCCCCTTGGCGGCGCCTGGGCCGTCTTGGATGCCTCTTGATGGTTTCTTATGCCGTCTTGGACCATGTTGAGGCCATCTTATGCTGTCTTGGGTGCATCTTGGGTCGCCTTGGAGATATCTTGCGGCAATCTTGGGCTCGCTTGGGGGCATCTGGGCCGTCCTGGAGGCTACCTTGGGCGTCTTGGAGGCCTCTTGGGCTGTCTTTGGGCCCTCTTGGAGCTATCTTGGGGACTTCTCGGGCCGTCGTGGCGCCCTATCGGAGACCTCTGCGGCGATCTTATGGCGATCTTGGGAGTCTCCTGGGCTGTCGGAAGGCCAAACATGAGCAAACGCCAAAAACCTTCAATCACCAACAGAGCATCGATGAATTTGACCTCTCGTGTATTCCTGTAAGTCCTCTTGGAAGCTTGCTAGGCCGTCTTGGAGGCCTCTTGGAGGCCTCTTGGGGGCTTCTTGGGCCGTCTTGGGCCATCCTGAGACCATCTTGGGCCGTTTTGAGTACATCTTGGGCCGCTTTGGGCCATCCTGATGCCATCTCAGGCCGTCTTCAGTACATCTTGGGCCATCTTGGCCACATGTTTCGGCCACCTCAGGCTCTTTCGGTGCCCTGTTGGCCGTCATGGAGGCGTCTCGGGATCATCTCGGAGGCCCTCTTGGACGTGTTGGAGGCGACTCGTTCAACGCTGGAGGGATTTTGAGGAGCTCTCCGGGTGGCTGGTGGGCCGGGCCGAGACTGCACGGGAGGTTCTTGCGAACCGAACCAGGCCTGCCAGACACTCGGCACGCCGTGCACCCCTGTGGCAAGACCACAAGGGGGCGGCGTATTTTATCGAAGACGCCTACGGCGAATCACCACCGCCCCCTGCCTTTGCGAAGCGCCTCTATGTCCAGACGTCTGGCCCCATGGCGGCCCAAAGGATCGGAATCTGTATTCCCCTCAGCCGCTCTAGAAACTCTTCGGGGAACACTTTGGGGAGGATTACGGGGGAAGATCAGGCGGAGGAGTAGGAGGAGGAGGAGGAGGAGGAGGAGGAGGAGGAGGAGGAGGAGGAGACCTTTTGGGAGTCTCTTGGAGCACTCTTTGGCTCCTTTTGGGAGCTTCCTGGGGGCCTCTTGGAGGCCTCTTGGGGGTCTCCTTGGGTCTCTGGAGGGCATTTGGATGCTTCTTGGGGGCATGTTTGGTCGTCTTAGGAGGGCGTTCCTGGCCCGTCTGACGCCGTCGAAAGCCGTCTTGGGGCCTCTCTGAGACGACTTGGTGCTCCCTTGTGGTGCTTCAGGGCCGTCTTGGAGGCCATCTTGGGCGTCTTGGAGGCCTCTTGGGCCGTCTTGGGGCCCTCTTGGGGCCTTCTTGGAGACCTCTTGTGCCGTGGTGGGGACATCTGAGAGGCCTCTTGGGCGATCTGGGGGCGATCTCGGGGACCTCTTTGGCCGTCTCGGGCCGTCGGAAGGCCGAAATGAAGCGACTGCCAACAAATCCTTGAAAAACTTAGGGACACAAAATGATGTGTGCCTCTTCGGGCCTTCCTGGATGCTCTAGTGGATGCCTTTTGGGCCGTCTTGGAGGCCCCTTGGGGGCCTCTTTGGACGGATGGGGCCATCTTGGAGGGCATCTTGGGTGCATCTTGGGCCGTCTTCGATGCGTCTTGGAACCGTATTGGGCTTTCTGGGGGCCATCTTGGCCTTCTTGGAGGCATCTTGGAGGCCATCCTTGGCCATCTTGGCCGTCCTGGAGCCCATCTTGGGCCATCCTCGAGCGGGACAGGCATTGACCAGAAGATTTTGAGGAGGTCTCCAGGCGACTTGGCGCGCTGGGCCGAAGCCCCAGGGGGAAAGTTTATCAACACCAGAAACCACCAGACCACGTCAGTCACCTCTGTGATGGGGCTGCGGATCGAAGACGCCTGCGGCACATCACCGCCGCCCCCTGCTGGTTTGGAAGCGCCTGCGTGGCCGAACATTGGGTTTGAGCTTGGCCAAGCTATCGGGCCACGAGTTCCCCGAGTGGGGTTCCCAAGCCTTCGGGGAACACGGAGTCGGGCGAGCTATCGGACCATGTCGTTTCCGAGCTTTCGGGCCTCCTCTTGGAGGGGTCGTGGGCCGTCTTGGAGGCCTCTGGCCGGCCTCTTAGGCAGTCGAATGCCATCTTGAGGCCATCTGGGGCCGTCTTGGGTGCATCTTGGGGCCATCTTCGCAGTCTTGGAGGCCTTCTTGGCCGTCTTGAAGGCATCTTGGAGGCCATCTTGGCCGTCTTGGAGGCCATCTTGGGCGTCTTGGGGGCCTCTCGGGCCGTCTTGGGGTTTGTTGGGGCCCTCTGGGGGTCCTCTTGGCGTCATGGGGCCATCTTGGAGGTCTCTTGGGCGCTCTTGGGGCGATGTTGGGGGCCTCTTTGGCCGTCTTGGGCCGTCGGAAGGTCGAAAAGGAGCAAATGCCAAAATCCTTCAAACACCCAAGCAACATCAATGATTTGGGCCTCTTCGGGCCTTCCTGGTGGAGCTCTTGGAGGCCTCTTGGGGCCGTCTTGGGCAGTCTGAGGCCATCTTGGAGCCATCTTGGACCGTCTTGGAGGCTTCTTGGACGAACTTGAAGGCATCTTGGGCTCTCTCTCGGGCCGTCTTGGAAGCCATCTTGGACCATCTTTGGCGATTTGGACGCCATCTTGGGCCATCTTGGAGGCCATCTCGGGCCAACGTGACCATCTTAGAGGCCATCTTGAGCCGTCTTGGAGATTTTTTTGTGGACGTTGGGGTGGTTTGCGGTGGCTTTCGGGTGGCCGGCGGGACGGGCCGAAGCCCCAGAATAAGTTCTTGTGGAAAAAAACAAAACCAAAAGCGAAAGGATTCATTGAGCACGCCGGGCAAGGAGGAGGAGGAGGAGGAGGAGGAGGAGGAGGAGGAGGAGGAGGAGGACAGAGAAGGAGGAGGAGGAGAAGGCCTCTTGGGCGCCTCTTGGGGCACTGTTGGGGCCTCCTGGGAGGGTTTTTGCGGGCCTTTGGGGACTTCTTGGGGGCCTCTTTGGCCGTCTTAGGGCGTTCCTGGCTTGTCTGACGCCGTCGGAAGCCGTCTTGGGGGGCCTGTCTGGGTCGTCTTGGGGCCCTCTTGGGGCATATCAGGGGTTCTTAGAGGCCATCTTGAGCGTCTTGGAGGCCTCTTGGGCCGTCTTGGGGGCTCTCTTGGGGCCGTCTTGGGGGCCTTTTGGGCCGTCATGGGGCCATCTTGGAGGCCTCGTGGGCGATCTTGGGGGCCTCTTGGGCCGTCTTAAGCCGTCGGAATGACGAAAAGAAGCACATGCCAACATCCTTCAAAAACCTACCATGATTTTGGCCTCTTCGGACACTCCTGGAAGACCTGGACGCCTATTGGGCCGTCTTGGAGGCCTCTTGGGGGGCCTCTTGGGTCGTCTTAGGCCATCGTCGGAAAGCCGAAAAGGAGCACCTACGAAAAGCCTGTAAAAACCTAAGGACAATTAATGATTTTGGCCCCGTCGGGCCCTCCTGGAGGACCTCTTGGAGGCCTCTTGGGCCGTCATGGAGACCTCTTGGACACCTCTTGGGCCGTCTTGGGCCGTCTTGGAGATTTCTTGGGCGGACTTGGAGGCATCTCCTCCTCTCTTGGGCGGACTTGGAGGCCATCGGAGCCCATCTTGGAGGCCATCTTGGGCCAACGTGGCCATAATGGACGCCATCTTGAGCCTTCTTGGAGGACAAATTGTGCAATTGAGCTTCTTTCCGGGTGGTCGGCGGGACGGGCCGAAGCCCCAGGGGGAGATTTTTTGGAAAAAGAGCCCAAACCAAAACCGAAAGGATCCAGCACGCCAGGCACCCCTGCGATGAATCGAGAGGGGGCGGCGGATCGAAGACGCCTACGGCGAATCACCGCCACCCCCTGACTTTTTGGAAGCGCCTCTGTGGCCGAAAGCTATCGGACCATGTGTTCCCCGAATCGGTTTGGAAAGCCTTCGGGGAACACGTGGGCATCTTAAAGGTCATCTTGGCCGTCTGGAGGCCATTTTGCACCTTTCGGGCCTTCTTGGAGGACGTCTTGGAGGGCTCTTGGGCCGTCTGGGAGGCCATCTTGAGCGTCTTGGAGGCTTCTTGGGCCGTCTTGGCGGCCTCTTGGGGCCGTCTTGGGCCTCTTGGGCGATCTTTGGGGGTACCGTCTTGGAGGCCGTCTTGGACCATCTTGGGCGGACTTGGAGGC